ATTATTATTATTCATCATCGAGGACCTTCTCGTCATTCTCCAAGAAAGGGGATAATTTATTGAAACCACTAAAGGCAACGAGGTTTTTGTCGCTTACCTCGGCCTAGAAATTCCGTGACGTTGAACGGACTCTGCATCCACCCTGCGATTTCTTGGCAACGCCCTCTCACTCCTCTTTCTCTCTCTACAAATCTGTTTTTTTAGGGTGAATACTACAAATTCTCTCCCTGCAAATCCTTTCTCTTTTGTTTTTCTCCCTTTTCTCGCTCTCTCTCTCTCTCTCTTTCTTTTTCTCTCTGTTTATCTCTTCCCTCTCTCTCCTCTCTTTCCTCTTTCTCTCTCTATCTTCTGTTGGAATTAATAACTCTCTCTCTCTATCCCCTCGTCTCTCTCTCTCTTTATTGGGAAGCGAACAGCGAGGAAACAAAACAGCAAGCAGATTTATGTGCGTAACTGAACAATGCCAAGAAGAAACAGGGTCGCAGAAGGAGGCTAATAGCTTTTGTGGATCGAAGCCTGATAAAGAAAATAACAATTTGGAGTTTTAAGTTTGAGGATCCTCTGGTTTTTGAACTTCTAAAGCTCGCATTCACTGTAAGTTTTCTTTAGCCTTAAAAGCCATTAATTCTCTTTAAAATGCTCCCTGTTTTCTCTCTTTTTTCTCCATGTCAGTAACAGAAATGGAACTTCAATGAAAGATTGGATATTTTCATTGGAAGTTATGGATTGTATTGAAACTTTGCCCTTTCTAGTCGAAATTTAATTGATTTTATAGATATTTTAAATCTCGTGGATTTATGGAATTTGATTTCATTTCAGTAAAAAAATTTCGTAAGTTTTTTGTTGAAAAATTTAAGGGATTTTTCGTCCTCACAAGACTGGAATTGCAGGTTAATGTGCTTTCTTTTTTTTCTGAGTTTTTATTATACAATATTCATTGTCGATTTTTATCGTAAATTTGGTTTTTTTTTGTATGAAATTTCAGGAAAATGAACAATTTTTTGCAAAGGGTTTAACTGTTGATATGATTTTTGCTTTATTTTTTGATATGCTGTCGATTTTTGGAAAATTCAAGGGATCTACTGTGCATGCGTGCTTTTTAAGTTTTTCTTTATCCTATAAAACTAGAAAATAACAATTAATTTAGTTTCTGTTTCTTTTAATTTAAGAATATTTTTTATGAACTATGAAATACTCAAAGATCAGTTTTTATTCGATGCAATTTTTTTGAATTCCTATATTTTATGGAAAAAAAATATGAATTCCTCATACAAATATGACCTTTTTTTTATGGCCGATAAATTTCTAAATTTTTTATTTGTTAATTGGACAATTCTCAGATAGGTTTTGTATTGTATTTGAGGTGAATTTGAAGTGAATTTAAATTTCTATATAAATACGCCTTTTAGGCTGATTATTTGCTTTTTAGTGTGATTTTTCGTAGCTCCGATTTATCCTCATATTTTAAAATTTTTATTTTTACTTTATAAAAGCGCCAATATGTTTTTTGTTTTTTTTGCTTTTTTTTTTTTCTTAACATGCTCTTACAGATGCGAGCATTTGTCACATATTTTAAAAGTACTTTTATGTAATTAGTGATTTTTTTTGTTTTTTTCTATTTGTCTGAGGTTGTATTCTCATGGAACTTTTTACTTCTCTCGCTGGGGAGCTCAACGAGTTTTGTGACAACCTCCCCCTCTCTCTAGTGAGCCAATGAAATTTACTAATTTTGATTTGAGATTTGACTGGTCTCTGGTTTATAATTTAGGTTTAACCTGATTTTCTAGTCGACTTTAATTATTTGGGATAAGACTTTGACAAATATAATTTAACCTGATTTTTAAGAAAGAAAAAGAAGCTTCATAGAATTTCTCTCTGTTTTTGTCTTTCTTTGTGTTTTATAATTTTGGTTAGCACTGGTTTCGTAGAAAGGCTCCATGGAACAATAATAACAACCTTGCTTTTTTTTTTCAATCAAAACGTTTAAACTCAAAGAAGTTGGTTAAAAAAGCATATTATTTGCTAAAGTTACTCCTTTAAGAGATACCCCCTTATCCAACTCACTCTTTTTCACTCCTATAAGTTGTTCCCTACCTCAAGTCTTGTGACTTTTTGTTCAAAGAACATTTTCGTTACTTTGGTAAGGCAAGGTATGGTAGATACTCGTGTTTATTTGTGTATCGTTTCGACACATCAAAGATACGACATTTATCACATTAAAGATACGGTGCCTATCTCGTATTTTTATGATTTATAAATTTAATCTTAACATTTCATTGTCGAAATCTCATAGTGAAATGTCTTTTGTTACCTATAATCCCCTCTCTCTCTTTCTTTTTATTTAATGGATGTAGGTATTTTATGTCTTATTTGAAAAGTTAATTTTAGGGTTGGTATGTAGGGACGTTATGTTTGGTGTCTGAAAAGTCAATTTTAAAATTCACTTTTTCAGATGCTCATATCCATTTATGTGACACATATTTCAAAATCACCTATTAAAATAGAATGTTTTGAATGGGCAAATAGAAATTAATTGAGTTGAATCATCAAGTTTCTTTGTATTGGATGTCATTTTAATTTGGTTCCTTGGCGCTTACGTTATGAATATTAACCGCTTGTTCATCTGTCTTAATCCATTTTCCCCTATTTTAAGCAGCGATTATCTGTTGATACTGACCCATTCTTTCGGTCTTGATGCAGACGTGATATAAAGAAATTGCAATTAAATGGAGGAAGTCCCGATGCAGGTGGGTTTGGTAATGTCTCCAATCATGAGTATAAATACTAAAACCGGTGCTCCTTTTCACAAATTCCTTTTTACAGTGGATTACGTTATGTGATTTGGTCAAAGAAAACTGAATTCCAAATCTAAGCACCCATTTAACCTTTTAGTGTAGCCAGACCAACTACTTAGAAAAAAAAAAAATTACGTTCTTAGCTTTTAATATTTGAAATGTCCCTTAGCTATTAAGGTGGTATCACCGAGTCTTATTTGAACTATTTTGGGTTGATTACAAGAATAATAATTTGTTATTCAGCTCTAATAGTTAAATGTGATATCTAAGCATCAAATGTGAAATCTCTTAGCTTGAGGAGTGTCATTTCTCTGCAAAAAATTTCAGAAATTTTGAGAATTTCTTTTTTGGTTTTCAGACTTTTAATGGGGAATCGTAGTAGCTTCAATTAATTGGGAAAAAAGGTTTTGATGACGATGACTTTGAATGGGAATAGCCTGACCCAAGTACCCAATTTTACACCGTGCGTGTCCCCATGTGCCCAATTTCACATTGTAATCTTCTTGGAACAAATATAAATGGCTTTATTGTATAATTCCCTTCGTGATATTATCATTATTATTACGGCAATTTATTTAAAATCACTTAAAATGTTCTACCCATTTATCAAAAGAGTAATGATCGTATGAGACCCAGACCCTCCCACACCCTGTTCTAACTCTTGACCTTTTGTTGAGATTTTTGAAATTGAACAGAAAAAAATAAGCAAGACGTTAAATACTTTTATCTTTAGGTGCTTTTGGAAAATTTTCCCTTGCTATTATTTTTGTCTTAGTCTGCCCTAAAAAAGAAAACAATATTTCATTTTCATCTTCTAATTTTGCAGCTTTAGCCTTGAATTCACTGGATTCAACGTTAGCTTTTTCTAGCCTTCTCCTCTTACAATATATTAATATTTTATTATCCATGTATCCCCAAACAGAACCCAAGTACTGCAACTGAGATACCGGCTAGTGTGGTCGTAGATGTGGAAAGCCTGGCTCAACCTCAAAGCTCGGGTAGTCCTAAAATGACTGTGAGCACTCTCTCTCTCTACCTTCTACAATCATTCTCTCTCTAGTGTCTTTCTCTCTCCATGTTCGAAAAAAATCGCACTGGTCTAGAAAACCGGCCAAGAGCCAGGGTAAACCGGCTAGTTCGACTAGCCTAACAGGGCAGGTCCAAAAAGTATTTCAAAGTAAAAAAGAATTAAAAAAAATAAAAAGTATATTTGAAGTATGATTAAATAAAACACATCCAAATTTAGTTGAAAAGTTTTGAAAAAATAGATTTAAAAAAATCGATTTGTGCCCAAGTATTTTAAAAAAAAAATCCAAAAAAGATGAGAATATAAAAATAAATATTTATAGCCAAAACACTTTTCAATCTTTGCTAAAATGATAAAAAATATTAAAAAATACATTACAAACAAATCCCTTTTTGTATACACCATGGAGTAAATTATCTTTGTACTTAACAAAATTTGGAGATTTATGTACCTTTATTTTGCATATGAAGTTTTTTTCTAGTAAAAGTAGTTTTAGTCGTTAAGAATGGTATGACTTGATCTATGTGGTATGACATCATTCATTTGGAACATTAACATCTCTCATTTTGACCAAAAATATATTTAGTAAAAAAAACTCCAAGTAAAAAAACAAAAACAAAAAGATACATAAATGTCTAAATTTTATTAAATACAATGATAAATTACTCAACTCACCCTTTTGTATATAAAGATGGTATATAATAATACCATTTACTTTTTAACACTAAAAAGTCCCAATTACATATACGTACCAAAACCGACAAAAATCGGATTTGCATGGTTCTTGTTTAATTGGCCGGTTCAGAATTGGACAAGAGGAGTTTCGCATATACCTCTCTCTCGCTCTCAACACTGCCCTTTTTTCTCTCTTGGGTAGCTATACTTTACAAACAAAGTTGATGGTAATATCAATGAATGGTCGAATCATTTTGATGGGTTCAAATCAAATGGACGATTCTGGTCTCTCACGAGACAAATCAATCTTACGTGGATATCTAGGCCGTCAGTTCAGTCCTAAAAGTAGCTGTCTAGCTTCATTCACGTGACACGGCATAAGCCAAAAAGTTCACTAATTTGAGCACATTTTGTAGAGCTCGATGGTAGTTTAGTAATTTTACGCCCATGGTTTTCTTCTTTTGTTCTTTTGGTAGATTGCCCTTTCACGGAAGGGCTCGTACAGGTGGGATAGAAGGAGCGTTGAAGAGCAAGAACCGGATGAAACCACCAAGAAACAAACAATTAAAGGTACCTTTCTTTTTAGGAAAAGTATAGAAAGCTACTATTTACGTGCTCACAATTATTTTTTATTAATGGATGTGCTCACAATTCATTTTGATTAAAAGATGTGAAATTGGGTGACTCCATTTACTTCATTGCTCATGCTCAAATTTCAAAAGATTTTTTTTTGAATTTTGTAACACCCAAACTATTATAAATTTCTTAACCCGAAGTAGAACTAGATTTCGGAGCAATTTTCTCGTGCCTAAAGTGTTATGTAGACAAGATTTCGAGATGAGGCTTTACTTCCTTTTGAAAAAGACTGAGCCTTATAGAAATTGCATCTTTTTTTAAAATGACGAGGATTGTATAAGGCATCAACCTTAAACAATCAAAGTCAAGTGCACCTTGAAATTGTGTTGAAAGATGTGCTTTTGGTGCCAAAAAATATTGCTATGATCTAAAAATCTAAGTTCACCCTTTATCATGAAATTAAAAGCTTTGAAAATAATAGAAATTGTGTAGATCTATAAACACTTGAAAATCTTGAAAATAAAGATCCAGGTTGATGAACTATTTTCAGAACTTGAAAACGTTTTTTTCCTTTTTTTCATACCTATACATCTCGTGGCTGAGATGGTCAAACAAACGGTTCTCTAGCCACAAAAACAAACTTTTGTAATAGGTTTTTAAATTGTGCCTTACTTCAATAATATAAGATTGACAATTTTATAGAAAGTTTTTCCTTTTAAGAAACATACAAAATATGGCAAGAATGACGGTTTCGGAATACGTCTAGGATTCATCAGAGGGCTACAAATTGAATTGATTTGTCATTTTTTATTTCTAAATTTAATTCGGGCATCCATGCATCCAAGGAGGACGCAAACCAAAAAAAAGAACGATTTCAAGTTAAAAAGTGATCAAAATACCCTTATATTTCTGGGTATTTTGGCTAAATTTTTTGAACTATTTTTGTATTTTTACTGAGCACGCCCAATACTGTTGTATTTATGCCCTAGCTTTCATGTGAATATAGTATGAAAAAATAAATAAAATTAGGACAAGATCTCTATGAGTCATAGGACTCACATGAACATATGTGGTCCCTTTTTTTAATCTAATTTTTTGATAGATTTTGGACCTAATTTTTTAGATTTATATAATCTTTGACACGTGTAAAAGGAAAATTTTAAAAGCTAAAAAGATAATTTTTTGGAAATTTTTTTGAACCGTTAGATTTTATTCTTGAGTTATGTTAGGATACTCATACATAGGAGTATTTCTTTAAGGTACTTCACATTTTTAGACACTTGATACTGTTGCCACACCATGTAATGCTTTTTTGGTCTATGTGTATTTTAAATAATTAATCAAGTGCAAAGTAAAAAATTTTGATTGAAAGAAAAATATATAATAATTAGGGAAAATTACAACAAACCCCAAGACTACACTTGCTATGCAATTTACCCCAACCCAACTTTTGCTGTCACTTTCCCCCCAAAATACATTTTCTATGTAAATACCCCCAACCGAAAATAAAATAAAAAAGTATCTAAACTACCCTCCCTTACTTTTACCTTACCCGCGCATCTCTCTTCTCTATTTCACCAAAATAGGGGCTCCGATACTGTATAAAAGTGGTCCGGCAGTAGGGCTCCGGCATTGTGTAAAGTGAGGTTTGGCAGTAAGGCTTCTGCACTTTTGTAAAGTGAGGTCCGGTAATAGGGCTCCGGCACTATATAAAGTGTGGTCCAGCAGTTGTAAAGGGCAGTCGGGCAGTTTCAAAGGCGGTCCGGTAGTTTCAAAGGGCGGTCCGACAGTAAATGTTATTGGATTTCAAGACTCCGCCACTATGTGAAGGCAGTCTGACGGTACTCGATTTCGATTCGGTAGTTGTCTTAAGAGTGGTCCGATACTTGTGTGCTCCGACAATCTGATAGTGCGCTCGGGCAATGTGCTACTGGGTCCAAAAGTTAACGTCAAATCTGGCCAAAATGATTTTTTTATATTGGAAGGGCATATCCGTTTAAAAAAAATGAGTTTTTTCCTTGAGAGTATTTGCATAGAAAGCTTGTTTTAAGGAAAAAAGTGAGATAACAAATTACGTCGGGGTAAATTGTATAGAAAATGTGATCTCGGGTTTTTTTTTTTTTGTAATTTTTCTTATTAATTATAGTGGACGATAATATTATCCACATGAGGTGTAACATCACCCTTATGGGGTAATGCTTGTTTTTTAACCACTAATAAAATGAGAGCAGTTTTTTATATAAATATCTATCATACCCCTCCACAAAAAATGCTCTTAATTAAAAAAATTTATATTGTGAAACATGAGCAACGAGTGGTCCAAAAATATTGAGTACAATAAAAAAATACTTGTATTTATAAGTATCCTAATATAACCCTTTATTCTTTTAGGAGGGACTACAACTTCACATCTATTTTAAAGATATGTTTGATACATTGGGGGACGGAAATATAGAAGCAATATCCCCAACATATAAGCTACTATTTGATAAAATTAAAAATAAAATCAACTTGTGGGTTTTAGTTTAGACTAGATTTTTTTTGTTGGGTAATTCAATGAGGAAAATAAGCCCATATCCCGTTTTTTTTCAAATGGTTTAAGAGTTATTTTTTTAAAGTATTAGTTAGTTGATGTTAGAGGGAATGAAAACCACAATGTAACCATTGCCCGGCTCATTTCCCAATAGAAAATATTTTTTTGTGGCCCCAACAATATTTAAGTTATATGTGATTTCACTTCTTAGTTGTTCGATCTGAATCGAACGGCTATTATTGTTCATACCCCAATGTCACGCCAAATGCTGTTTTATTTTGCATTTTTGTCTATAAAATATATTTTGGATGAATTTTTGGGTGTTCTATTATAAAATTAGAGTGAACTTGGAAAAAATAAAAAATAAATATTTTCCATAAAAATAAATAACCAAAATGCCCCTACAATTTTCAGGGGTATTCAAGTAATTGTTCATCAAAAAAATATATTATTATTGTTATTTATCATGTGTGCCCCTGTCAGATCTATGTATGCCCCAAATTTTGCTTTACAATGATTTATAAACTAAAAATAAAAAATAAAAACTTTAAGCCATCTGATTAAGATCTGACAATTAAAAGCTAATTTGTGACATTGTGAATTAAGCCATCTTCTTAGATCTAATGGCTGAAACCAGGGGTCACATATGCTACATATGTGGGGGTCATATAGAAGATGGAGCTTTATATGTGACACCACCCACCGATATAGTATATGAGACCCCTGGTCTTAACCGTCAGATTTGAGATGACTTGAGTCCCAATCTCACAAGCTAGCTCTTAACCGTCAGATCTTGATCAGACAGCTTGTAAATTTTTATTTTTATTCTACAAATTATTTTGAAAGAAAATTTGGGGCACACATAGATCTGACAGGGGCACACATGATACAAATAATAAAAAAAAATTTCTTGTGATGAAAAATTACCTAAATACCCCTAAAAATTGTAGGGTCATTTTGATCATTTATTTTTATAAAAAATATTTTGTTAAATTTTTTACAGGTTCGCCTTAGTTTTATAATGGGACTCCCAAAATTTCATCCAAAAATATTTTAAAAAAAAAATAAAAAAATTGAATAGTATTGGGCATGACAATGTGGTATAAACAAATTTAGGCGGCTAAAAAATGAACTTATATTTGGGTCATATGGAGACATTTCCCTAGAGAGGCTTCCCTTTCCCAATTCAGACTAAATTCAATGTAAACTATAGTACGTGTGCACCTCACCCTTCAAATATCGACATCGTACAAATGCCATGTTTTTTAATCATCTTTTCCCTCATATTTGTGAGGCTTCAAATTCGATCGCGCCATTGAACACTGAACAGTTACACAAAGAACAAAAACAAGGGCCCCTTCCAGGAAACTTCGGCTGTGCGGTTTGAAGTGAGGGTCAGTATAGATATTTGTTTTGTATTATATGGTTATTTTGGTGCAGTAGAGAATACTCCCAGCTGCTTTGTAGTTCAGTGTTACTTTACTCGGGGTCAGGGTGTTTCGTAAAGTGTGCGGTTTGCATAGAGTCGAGGCTCTAAACGATCAAAATAAAACGTATTTTGAAATAGTATTGAGAAATGTGGTTTCAAACTTTCAATGCCGGAAAATCGTTGTGATAGCCTTAAAAGTATGTTTTCATCTTTAACTATAAAATTTAAAGCTTCAAAAATTGTATAGTTCAAGCAGATTTATAAAAATTTAAAAATATTGAAAAATTGACTATCCAAAAATACATAAGAAGATATGCTACTTCCAAAACTTGCAATCCATTTGTTTTCGTGTACATGCATTTTGATGCCGAGGTGATCAATTTAAAGATAGTTGGGCATCAAAATAACTTTTTTTAGTGAAATTTTTTTTATGTACGCTCTAATTTGATTGTTTAGAACCTTGCCCTTGTATCACCTCATCATTTCACCCTAACTGCTTGTGTTTTCTCTCTTACTCATATTTAGCGATCATCGTTTTAGCAATCGGTGGTCCGATCGGAATACCCCACTGAAAACACAAGAATTGTTGGGGACTCCCGAACCTATAAGGAACAAGGCGCTTCTCACTTGAACTTGCTGAGTGGTTCCGTCAGGAAATTGGTTTCTGCTTTTTTATTTTTTATTACTTCGATTTTTTTATTTTCAATTTTTTATTTTTCTATCGGCGATCTCTAACCTAGATCATCAATCCGGACTGGTTCATGAATGGCCGATTCACCCAACCAATCAAGGTTTTCAAACATTGATAATAACCATAAATTCTCTCTCGTGTAGTTCTCTTAATAACCATAACTTCTTGTGAGAATTTAGTATAAAAATTCTCATATTCATGATTCAACTATATGCCATAAATAAGAATGAGCTCATGATTAGTTGGTTAGATTGGGATTGCCACAATATGATGTCGTGAGCTTCATTTCTATCACAGAAAAAGAATCCAATCCCAAAAAAAAAGAAGCTACGATTTGAAATATAAATTTTTTATGATGGTTTGAAAACTTACTTTGATTCATGGTTATAAAGTTTTAAATTTAAAAAGAGGTAAAAAATAATACATTAATTAATACTTGAAAATCTTAAAAATAGATAATCTAGATAACTTGTTAAACAACGTTCTATTTTTATGACTAGAATTTTTTCGTTTTTTATTTTTTCATATTCACGTTTCTCGAAGTCAAGATGATCAATTAGAGAGATAATATTTTGTAAACGCTTTTTCAGGTGCCTTTTACTTTAATAGATAGAATAAGATTGCAACCTTGTAAAAAAATTTCCTTATACGAAAATGATAGCATTGGACAATGATTTCTTATCAACATTCTATCACCGGTAAATGGTGACTTCCCATTGAAAAGAAATGTGAGTAAGGAGTTGAAGAAAATCGTGTAAAATTTAAAGAGAGGGAGAGAAAAAAATTGTCAAAAATTGACCATTGATTCGAATCATATTAAAATAGAAAGATTCCGTACATATCATTATTACGAAAATACTTAAAAAATATGTTATTACACATATATCTGTTTTTTCAACTTCGGAGCACTTTTTAAAAAAAATAATTATGGAGCTGTTCGTATGGCGAGATATGAAGAGGCCATGTCTTTGCAGTTGCAAGTTCACAGCTGGAGCAGATGAAGCAGCCATTGATGCCCACAACCAAAGCTCTCCTCCCTCTCACCAACCCTTCCCCCAACTTGGGCGACAACGATGGCAGATGCAGGAGATTCAACCGCTTCACTCTCCATCCTAGAAGGATACTCCTCATATTCGCCACACTGTATAACTCTCTCTCTCTCTCTCTCTCTCTCTCTCTTC